AAAAGCGTAATATACGCTGTACTGTTGCTTCTTCTGCGCCTCCTGTAGCCATATTCAGAAGGAATAAATTCCTTCAAAATGTTTTAAAATGATATCTGAAAACAAAAAACAGCAAATTTTAGACTATTAGTTTCTCCAACGTTGATTTCTTTTCTCTCGTGACCATAATCAACATTTTAGCATGTTGAATTTTTATAACACTGCTTTATTTAATCTTACATAGGTTTAAAGATCTTCAATATGTATGATATTAGTCCCAATATTCATAGGAAATTATACCTTTTCATGACACTATTAAAGTAATCCAAAACTTTTACATACACTTGATAATCTGATAAAGATGTTGTCAATACTGAATACACTAGAGTTCCTTATCTATCAGTTCTTCGTGGTCTCATTTTATGTCGACTTGCTTAACATAAATTTCATTAAAATATTATAGTTCCTTTCAAAACTTTATTTTATAATTTATATTTCAATCGATAAGCAACAAGATTCGTCAAAAACTTCTGAATAGGCCACCTTTTTCCTACTACAATTTCCAGCAAAACCAATCGAACACTGATGATATAGGCTTTTCAGATATTGTACAAATTGGTTCTTCGATAATGGTAGAGAAAATGGATAAACATAAATCTATAGATTTAACCACATAAAATGTATGTTTAAGCATTAGCTTTATGATGAATAATTTATTCAAGAGTTTCTTATCTATTAAAAAAGTTTGAAAGGTCTTCATACAAATTACTCATCATGAACAATGAATGTAATAACATAGCGTTGAGATTGAGGTATGGATAGGATTGAGGTGTAGGTATATGTCTTTTCTTCACATAGACCTACATACTCTGTGAGATGAAGACAGCAAAGTAAATCAAGGAGATCACTAACTAGCATTTACGAGTTGATTGTCCAAAAATGTCAACCATTGGGATCGATACCATATCTATCTCAATTGTATCTAATGTGGAGAGTAGTATTGGTGATATATGTGCGTTATTTCATGGGTTGACTTATGGTTTTGTTATTATTCTAATAAGTTACTCACCGCCATGGAATGAATAAAATCCAATATATGGAAAAAATTTTGTGTTTAGGTGCTGCTGAATAGACTTGGTATCGTATATGTAATACTGTTCATTTGTTTTGTCTAATGATTCTTTTTTTATCTTTGCAGCAAGGTAATTTTATTCGCTTCTTATCGTTTTTTATTTCGAATAGATCTTTTTTTTAATTTTTTTATTACATGCTTACATTAGATGCGCACGTTGCGCATGAAGTAATTTGCCTAAGTGATTTGTCCACGGTAAGTATTACAAAATGAATAATACCAAGACATATTTCTACCTCAAAAGATATCGAAAAGCAAAAGATGCTAATTAGAAGAAAATTAAATTATTTTTATTTTGAAATCTATAATCCGTTGTTTCATATATAAATAAAAAGCCGCAAAACACAAGAAATTTTCATGGTTATTATCATATGCATTGGGTATTTAGTTATTACAATCGTAAATCTTACTCTTCATTTACTTCGAACATTTTGTTCTGAACACAAATCTAGTTTCATGATATTAGGACATCGAAATGATTGAATGTTTAATAACAAAAATACATAATTTAATGTATTCAATGGAAACACAATCGCTTATAAATTAATAACTTAACATGCTTAAGAAATTTTTTTGCATAAAGTTCATAAATTGCGGGTGTAGGTGTCGGAGAATGTTATTGAAATATCTACTTATTTAAAAATCCTTCAAATAGTGATTGAATTCTTAACTTGGATGGGAAATTATTAGTCAAATAGAATTTTGCTTATGTTATATTATGCATTAGGAATTTATTATAGTATCATCGCAATATGTAGTGTCTTTTCAGAATTAAGACCAAGTATTGAACACTTTTTAGTGTGGATTACATATTGAACTATAAATGTAAATATCTTGATCGGTTATTCTTTTTTTGTGATTATATATTAACTATTGATGCGATATAATTTATTAATCAATTTAATCAGCTTTTGATTAAGATAGTGTATAGGAAAGTCTAAAATATACAAATAATTATTTATAGACAATAAACACATTTGATTTTTCTATTTATTTATTTTATTCATTCTTAGAAAATTTTCAAAATAAACATTGGTCTTATGTTAATGTTCACTCACTTAATTTCTTTCGGTAAATTTTTTAATTAATATCTCTAACTGATCTATTTTTTCTTTCAATTGTTCATTTTCCATAATTAGTTCAGCTAGCACCGGTCTTAAGGGTTCAAAAACACATTGTTCCATATGTGCATCTAATTCTTCTCGTACACCTTTCCATGGACATTTTATATCGGCAGCTTTACACTGTACAAAAACTCGTTTACAGGATTTTTCTTCATGTCGTTGTAGATCACCTCGTCGAATATTTTTATCTTTACATTTGGTGCATTCTACCAAAAGACTATTGAGCATTTCTAGTACAATCCCTTCTTGAATTGGAGCCATTGGTACCGATTGAGATGATGAATAGTCCGTGAAACAGGCGCGGCAACCTCGTTTATTATCTTTGGTTGTGAGCGGATCTACAAATGGTTTTTGACATATTGAACAAAGAAGTAAAGGATTTATTTGTTGATCGGTCATGTATACATATGGATGCTTGGATGTCATTGCGTTCTGTTGCAGAGATGGAGCGTATGAGACCAGTAATCAAGATTTTTTATAAGAAAACTTGTATTATGGCTCGATTAAGTATATATGAATATGTTGTTTGACTTTCCTTATCTTACTGCTACCTTCACACCACGTGTCAATTGCCTGTGTCAGATTTACATTCGATGAAAATTCTTTTTGTTTTACTGTTGACAATGATATTATTATCAGCATGTTTACTTTTACTCATACTTATGTAATCAAATGATACACTTAAATTGGAAAAAATCCTATTGATTTACCGGTTATTTTTAAATAGTGTTAATAATCATGAAGAAATAAGGATTCATTAGATAAGTGTTACAGTTAATTCTTTAACAAACTTGTCATTCATTTTGAAAATGATGACCCACATATTTTCAAATCTATTTGTTGTCTACATATCAAGCGAACATACAATTCATTGTTAGACAACAGTTACTATGAATATTAACAATATTGTATAAATTTTCCTTTGTAATTATTTTTCACTATAATAAAAAAAATAGTATTCTTTGTTATGAAACTAATAAACAGTTATCTTGTTAAAAATATTGCTTAAAATAACGGTTTGAATGTTAAAAAGATAGAATTGAACAACATGGGAAACTATACTACAGCATAAATAATACGGATGATTTGTAAATATAAGTTAAGAAGCTTAATGGTAAAGATGTAATGTAAGAATCGTTGTGAAGAATTTCCTACAAAGCAGTTATTACAGTGATTCACAAGAGTTTTGATACAAAACTCCTTTAGGGTGCCGATAAAAAAAAACCGAATTTTTTTAAGAGTGCAATATCAAATGATTTATATACAGCAACAAAAATCAAACTATAGAAAAACTGGGAGGATTCAGTGACACTTCAGTGTAAACTTAGATAGTGCTATTAAGTTAAAATAAAAAGCTTCGCATATTGATTTCATGAAGTTCATATTTGTTTTGTTTGAGTTTAACCAGTGAAATAAATGATTTTTCTCTATTATTCTCGATGATGTATACACTTTCTGAAGACAAAATGCGCGAGCTACGTTAAGCTATGTAATGTACATGCGCGCGAAGAACGATGACGAGCAGAGATAATAGAGTCTGCTCTCTTTACTTAATATTTTTGCACATTGGACTTGTGTCTAATGACTTCCAACCCCATTTATTCAACTAATACAATTGTCAATAATACTAATGAATAATCAGGAGTATTTTTCTAACCATGGAATATTACGGTATTTGATGAGTTAAATACTATTTGCATTTGTTGTCAACTGAAAATGTTCTACATGAAATAGTTTCGACACAGCACTCATGTAAAAGAAGTTTAGAAAAAAACCTTTGATGGATACCGTCTGCTCAGGAAATTTTCTAGAAAATATACACAATTCTTCTCTTTTCTCAAAGAACAAACACACGAAGGTAATATAACGATCAAAGCCTCCTTAGTTCTATAGAGTGGTAGTTTTGTCAATAAACCGTGAAACGTTTTATATTATCATTGAGTGACACTATCGAAACTTTAGTAAAATTCAAATAGAGTCATTTCTTTCTCTACCAAGCCATACAAAATTTCTTAAGAGAAAATACGGAAATAGTCGAAATTTTATAAACCTGAAAACGTTTGGTACCTTAATATAAAACCTTTAAAGTTCGGTAATATAAATTTCGTTTTGACACGCTAAAATAAAATTTCTCCAAACAAACGTACGATAAATTCTCTGAGACCATTTCGAGACACGCACTAAGTCTGCAGTTTGAATTCACTTTTTATCATGTTCAATATTTTCATGTACAACAAACCACTGTCCAGGACAAAATGGCGATCGAAAAAATGCATAAATGCAATACATTCGAGTATATAGACTTTGTATACATATATACAGTTGAACGGGCAAAACGAAAGTGATCGGTCAATGTTTGAAAAATAAACTATCATACATTCAGATTACGATATATTCCATTCGCAACATACTATTGTCGTAGTGCTTGTGATATATTAATTCGATATATATTATTTTAGTGCGTAGAAGATAGCTTATCTAGTAAAAAAATTTTAATTATCTAACATTATCTTTGACGTATAACAACAATATGAGCACTTATTTTTGGCAAAACTGTCTTTGAAGAAGAATATCATCGTCGATTAGTGAAAAAATTCAATTCTGAATCTGTTATGAAAAGCAGAATCTAATATCTTAGTGTATCCACCAGATCTCAATAACAGAAAGAAATTTTTCTTTTTATTTATTTTAGTCTGTTTATCTCGTACTATTGAGCAAAATATATAGAAATGAGGCATTTTACTTTCAAATATTCGCCGCATTGTTTGTTCCAATGATGTTGATAGTAAAACCAAACTAATCATTGTCACAGTGATTTTGAATAGCATGATTTTGACCAGATCTACAACTCCTTTCATGTTATTATTGTCTATACTATTTTTGCATGCGTCAATGTTGCGCAGTAGATGATGATGCCAAGCTAAGAACTTACCTGTATTGTAAAAACTGGTACTAGCCTAAAACACCCATCGGTATTCTGTTTTTTGAAGAGAAACTTTTTTATTATCTACGCCAGAGTCGAGTAGTTGTGTATGACTGTGCGCCTTCTACTAAAAATTTACTAAGCCAAAATATTTTGCTTTACGAGTCTGTCAGCAGGTTTGAAGCATATATATCCTGTTTTTGAGACTTCTCTGATTGATGCAAACAAAAGACAACAAATATTTGATTGGTTTACATGAGCAAAGATGTTAATAATCGATTTTATTGAATGTTTTTTTTCAAATAACTCTTTTCTCATTAGGAAACAGCCACATCGCTCTCTTGTAACATTTGCCGTCCAACCATATCCAACTGTAATTATTTTTTGCTATGCTTTTCTTCTAAAAATACAGACACGGTTGAGGATGTGAGTGTGAGTTTATAATTAAATAAAAGGCCCATATCCACATCCAATGGAAGCTTTGCCCTTATCCAATGGATCTTTCGATCAGGCTACATTATAGTGTCAATAGTTGTTAGTTGAATAAAGTTATCAACATTTATATTGTATTTGAAAAACGAACTCATTAGAATAGAATCAGATTATTTGAGGCTCAGCAAGCATGCATTTAACTCAGTTAAATTAGTCACCATCGTTTCAATTGATATTTTTGTCTGATTCGAAGGCAGTTCGAATGTCTCGATTGTTTTATTGATTGCTATCTTCGTCGTAGTGATTAATTAATGTAGAGTGAAACCGGTTATAACAAGAAATAAACCCCACGTTAATACAAAGCTATCAACTTGATTCAGTGCATCTCAAAGTCAATCCATATATTGATGAAAATGTTCGATTGTATCATAATATTCCGATTATGCAAAAACAGCTTGGTTTGCGTACAATACTAATCAATTCGGCTTAACAGTACCTGTAGACAGATTATTTCAAACATAAGTCATGTAAGAAAAAATTGAAAAATAATGAAACTCATTTTACCTGTTTGATGCGGAAACTTTTCCATCATACACGTGAACATTGCATGATCTTAATTGAAATGAAATTTATAAATTTGTTGAACAGTACAAAAAATTCTAACGATAATTGAAATAAACATGTTCATACAAATGAAGGCCACCAAGAGAATATATACAACGAAACATAGTTGTCCGAAAACTGCATCCACTTTCCATAGACCGATAGTATCGACTTTGAATAGCATCATTTCAAAAAGCATTTGGAATGTGCGCAATAAACTTGAGTAAGTTAACAGTTTAGACACAAATAGTAAATGAAAGAGGACGGTAAAAGTTATGAACGTAATGGTAAGCATGTGGATAAAAAGTAGAAGATCTTCGAAGTTATGTTGAAGTGCATGTCGAACTGTTGTATAATGCTGATTACGTTGAGAGACATTAGCAAACTTAAGAAAACTAACAAGAAAAGTGAATATATTATTGATATAGACTATGGCATTGGTCTCTCGAAAAAAGGACTCTAATAGATCAATGTCGGCAAAAATAAGCTCAATTCAGTTGAAAATGCCATATAATTTCGCCTGACATGACGTAGAGAATAAGCAGGGTGTAAAAAATTTTTACAATCAAATATAACAGTGATGTGTCATCTGAAAATGAAAAACCTTTAAGATTTTCAATGCAAAAGTAAGACAACTTAATCATTTCGTACTTTAATCTGATTTGGTGAGAATGTTAGATCACAAAGGGAATTCAAAGACTATTTATTTCCAAAAGAGCAAATGGAGAAAATATATACGTGTTGATATATGATGCAATAAACGTAAATTGGCTCTCGTAATGTTTAATTGAAAACCGATAAACAAGATACATCATTTTCCAAGCTATTGCTATTTGACCTATTTTCCTGGTTGCTAAGAAGAAGAACTGAAAAATATTCACACACTATATGTCTTCAAAAAATATATATCAATTTCACGACTACTACGAGAAACAATGGCAAGTATAGCAAAAATTTTATTCAATATATCACGCTATTGCTAAAACTATGAGATTAAAAAACACAATCATCTATTGAATGTTTAGTTTTATATTCTTAATCAATCAAATACGAAAATCTTATGTTAACATGTTTGATTATTAAATTAAAAATGCAGTGATTGTGCTAACATTTAGTTTCTATGTTTGAGTTTTACAAATAGATACCAAAGTAGAATAGTATTTGATTATAAAACATCTCATATAAACAAAAAATCAAAGCAATCATGAGTATCCGTGTTCACAAACAAATATAGATTTTAGTTGACAACAATAAGTGCAGTCAAGAATAGGTATTTATGAATGTCCATGGCTGTCCGCAGTTATTACAGATACTCCATCGATTTAGTCTTGCTTCAAGACAATTTAAACAGCTGTTAGCAAAACACCTTCTTATCATCATAACCACTTAACAAATAAAAGGTGCAGTGACAGTAGTAGCATTTGCAAGCAATATCTTGTTATCTTTATTTTCTCTTTTCTATCAACAA